ATTAGGTAGAATGGATTTAAGTTTCCCTGCATTAAAGTCCCCGGCCACTTGGAGCGCTGCCTCTGGATGAGCGTTTTCCTGTTCACTTATGGCCTTATACAGCTCATGCAGTGCAATCTTAATGCCAGCATTGGTTTGTGGTGGTAAATAGACAGCTATGAAAAATATAGATGAAAACTCTCTTGGTAAATAGTGTGGTCTACAGCTTATCATAAGATACTCTACCTCAGGCGAGCAAAACCTCGAGACTTCCTTAGTATTTGATTTTGTGCACCAGCTGTTGTTTACAAATATACACAGACCGCCACCCCTTGTCTTACCGGAGTCAGCCGTTCTATCTTGCCGATGTAGCGTATAGCCCGCTAGCTGTATGTTGTCCATGTCGTCGTTCAGCCACGACTCGGTGAAACATAATATATTACAGTTTTTAATGTCCCGTTGGTAGGATAACCGTAATCTTAGGTCATCCAATGTATTCTCAAATGATTGAACATTGGCTAATAGGATTGATGGCAGAGGCAGTTTACTCGCTCGCCGTCGGATCCTTACAAGGCACCCCGACCTACGTCCACGATATCTCTGTCTCTTTCTCATGTGAATGACGGGGATTTGGGCCTTGTCGGGTGTCTGTAGGATATCCTTCGCATCAGACTTGTTGAAGAAAAAATATTTGTCCAATACGAGGTGAGTAATCGCTGTCCTGATATCCAGAAGCTCTTTTTGGTTATAAGAGACGATGGCAGAAACATTATGTACAGAATAAATTACAAATAACGCGGAAAAACACACATAATAGTACAATTGGTTAGAGGGCTGTAAAACGGCAGCCATCTTCTCTAGCGCCATTCTAAAAAATAAAATACAATAAAAAGACTTTGCTTCGAAAAAAGCACCGGCACCAGGGCGAAATCAGTGAGATCTCTCGCATTTTGCAACACATGGTTCGAAAAAGCATGAGATCAAACAAAGCTTTGGACGTCATTGATCATGTGGTAATGTTACTTCGATACTATCCATGGCAGCGTTTCAAACACTTAAACACTCCCTCTCCCCTCAGCCCTCAAGTTAAGTGGACACTTCTGATGATGTATCATGACGTATGATGAGTGGACACTTCTGATGACGTATCATGACGTATGATGAGTGGACACTTCTGATGATGTATCATGACGTATGATGAGTGGACACTTGCAGGGCAAAGGGCGAGGGAAGAATTAATTATTTTTAAATGGACCGCCCTTGCCCAGAAATGTGTCACTCGTTTGTCCCACTGTTGTGTTTTCAGTCATCATAGCTACCGTTCTCTCTGCGTGGTGCGTGGGAAATGAATGTTACATCTTCAGCCGTTGTAGGAAAGATACACTTAAAACACTCGTAACCGGGCCCAGAGTGACTTACAATACAGTTGCCGTATTGTAGTGTATTTTAGCTTTTAAAAGTCTTGATTTCAAATCAAATCAAATTTTATTGTTCACATGCGCCGAATACAGCAGGTGCAGACATTACAGTGAAATGCTTAATTACAGCCCCTAACCAACAGTGCATGTATTTTGAATAAAAAAGTAAAATAAAACAACAACAAAAAAGTGTTGAGAAAAAAAGAGCAGCAGTAAAATAAAATAACAGTAGGGAGGCTACATATACAGGGGGATACCGGTGCAGAGTCAATGTGCGGGGGCACCGGCTAGTTGAGGTAGTTGAAGTAATATGTACATGTGGGTAGAGTTAAAGTGACTATGCATAAACAAACAATGTTAATGAATTATAATCCACATAATAATTCACATTTCCTGTTGCTGCAGGATTATTTTTCTGCTGTGAGAAACTGGGTCAAATTAATATATGGCATCTGTAAGTGCATTTATCTTAAGATAGCTAAGTGAGACAACCACATATCACAGTCAAATATACAGGATACGAACATCCCATTCCAGCTAAACATTGGATATATAAATGTAATGTAAATATAGCGTTTTGCAAAAAAAACACATTTTCATACACATCTCAAATCTAGAACGGAAATATTGAAGGTACCAACCAATAAGCAATCATTTCTGATGAAAAAAACACAAATGTGAATTTTCTTTGTATATAGCGTTTTGGAATATAAATTCTTAAACAATATTGTCAGCTCACCTCTTAGTTTTGGTGTCAGATCTCCCAGAGAGACTCATTTTAGAGGCAGGGACCCCCTCCTCTCTCTCCCCAGAGAGACTCATTTTAGAGGCAGGGACCCCCTCCTCTCTCTCCCCAGAGAGACTCATTTTAGAGGCAGGGCCCCCCTCCTCTCTCTCTCCAGAGAGACTCATTTTAGACCACTGACCCCTAAACAGAGATGCAGCATGTTGGTTGTGGTTACCACAGTGACAACTCATTCTAGAATGTCCATTGTTCTCTTTTATTCATGATCTCTTAGAAATCTAAAATCTATGAATTACAATTCTGAGATCAGTAACGCTTTGAACACACTAACTGCGTTATTGCATTTTGGTAAACCAGAAGTACATTCATTTCCAATTGAACGCTGCTTTTGCCTTGCAGCATTGGGTTGCAGAGGCAGTTGCAGTGCGTTCTGTGTGGTGCATAAATTGGATTAATCAAACGTATGCGTCAAACTGTATGCGTAAACAGGTTGACAGAAATGGTAGCAGAAGGTGAATGTTTAACTTTTGTTGCACATATATTTAGATGATGCTGCATACTATTTTGCGCAATGACGCAGTCGGTGTGTTCAAACCGTAATATTGAAGGTACCCACAAGCAATAATTTCTGATGAAAAAACTAATGTGAAAAAATTGTGGACATATAGTTTTGGAAATGTAATTAATAATTCTTAAACAAAACTGTAATCTCACCTCTTAGTTTTGGTGTCATGTTCCCCAGAGAGACTCATTTTGGAGGCAGGGCCCCCTCTCCTCTCTCTCCCCAGAGAGACTCATTTTAGAGGCAGGGACCCACTCCTCTCTCTCCCCAGAGAGACTCATTTTAGACCACTGACCCCTAAACAGAGATGCAGCATGTTGGTTGTGGTGAACACAGTGACAACTAATTCTTGATTGACAATTGTTCTCATTTAATAATAATCTCTTAGAAATAAAACATATACTAACAGACATATCGAAACAGTCAGGCTATTTAATGCAATCAGATGAACATCTGGTTGTGACATCTCTTCTCCATGTTAACTGTCAATAATAATAATAAGTCACTGTTTGTTAAGGTAGTTATAGACAGTGCAGCAACACAAGGCCATGTCTCACACTTATTTGTATTCATTAAAAGTCGGCCATTTGTTGTCTTTGAATCTGAGAATGTAGACAGAAGGGCTAAAACAGGCATGATTAATCTGAGGGGAAATCATTGATACATTCAGAAAGTATTTTTGCAACAAGTAGGAGATTTATATTATGTAAAGTAGGCTAGGTTATAATATATACAGTGGGGGAAAAAAGTATTTAGTCAGCCACCAATTGTGCAAGTTCTCCCACTTAAAAAGATGAGAGCGGCCTGTAATTTTCATCATAGGTACACGTCAACTATGACAGACAAATTGAGAGAAAAAAATTCAGAACATCACATTGTAGGATTTTTTATGAATTTATTTGCAAATTATGGTGGAAAATAAGTATTTGGTCACCTACAAACAAGCAAGATTTCTGGCTCTCACAGACCTGTAACTTCTTCTTTAAGAGGCTCCTCTGTCCTCCACTCGTTACCTGTATTAATGGCACCTGTTTGAACTTGTTATCAGTATAAAAGACACCTGTCCACAACCTCAAACAGTCACACTCCAAACTCCACTATGGCCAAGACCAAAGAGCTGTCAAAGGACACCAGAAACAAAATTGTAGACCTGCACCAGGCTAGGAAGACTGAATCTGCAATAGGTAAGCAGCTTGGTTTGAAAAAATCCCAGAACCACACGGGGGGACCTAGTGAATGACCTGCAGAGAGCTGGGACCAAAGTAACAAAGCCTACCATCAGTAACACACTACGCCGCCAGGGACTCAAATCCTGCAGTGCCAGACGTGTCCCCCTGCTTAAGCCAGTACATGTCCAGGCCCGTCTGAAGTTTGCTAGAGTGCATTTGGATGATCCAGAAGAGGATTGGGAGAATGTCATATGGTCAGATGAAACCAAAATATAACTTTTTGGTAAAAACTCAACTTGTCGTGTTTGGAGGACAAAGAATGCTGAGTTGCATCCAAAGAACACCATACCTACTGTGAAGCATGGGGGTGGAAACATCATGCTTTGGGGCTGGTTTTCTGCAAAGGGACCAGGACGACTGATCCGTGTAAAGGAAAGAATGAATGGGGCCATGTATCGTGAGATTTTGAGTGAAAACCTCCTTCCATCAGCAAGGGCATTGAAGATGAAACGTGGCTGGGTCTTTCAGCATGACAATGATCCCAAACACACCGCCTGGGCAACGAAGGAGTGGCTTCGTAAGAAGCATTTCAAGGTCCTGGAGTGGCCTAGCCAGTCTCCAGATCTCAACCCCATAGAAAATCTTTGGAGGGAGTTGAAAGTCCGTGTTGCCCAGCGACAGCCCCAAAACATCACTGCTCTAGAGGAGATCTGCATGGAGGAATGGGCCAAAATACCAGCAACAGTGTGTGAAAACCTTGTGAAGACTTACAGAAAACGTTTGACCTGTGTCATTGCCAACAAAGGGTATATAACAAAGTATTGAGAAACTTTTGTTATTGACCAAATACTTATTTTCCACCATAATTTGCAAATAAATTCATTAAAAATCCTACAATGTGATTTTCTGGATTTCTTTTTCTCATTTTGTCTGTCATAGTTGACGTGTACCAATGATGAAAATTACAGGCCTCTCTCATCTTTTTAAGTGGGAGAACTTGCACAATTGGTGGCTGACTAAATACTTTTTTGCCCCACTGTACATAGAAGGCCATAGACACCCAGTCCCAGGTTCACTTAAGAATAGAGGAGAAAGAGAATGAGCAGCATGTCTGTCCATGCGGGCTTTCAGATCCTCATTCTCCTGCTGGACCATTTGGAAGGCATTCGTCCAGCTTTAACGCTTTTCTCCATCTACAAAAACATCCAAAACATTCAAGACTAGATAGAAAAATGGTCTTAAAATTGATGCCTGAACTATAGGTGTGTCCATCTGCATCAGTTTGTGGTCCTGTTGGTGCAGCTGTTTGTTCTTGATATCCAGCACCACATTGAGGCTCTCCACCTCCTGCTCCAGATACAGGGAGTCCTTCTGGAACGGCACAACAAGAGGGTGGTCTGAATAAGACTAGTCTGAATGAGTGTGATAATTCCAGATGAGGTTAGCCTCTGCCCATAACAGTTATACAACCCTACATCCATAACCTAATCAACAGAGGGCACCATACCTAGGTGACAAAAATACCCCACTGTGTAAGCCCAATTTAATATACACCATTACAATAAATCCATTATGTATTTTAGGCAGGTCTAAAAGAAACATGATTAAAATTAAGAAAATGCATTTCAGAAGAACAGAACATGAGTAGGCCTACTGTAAGTTATCTGGCTATACACCATGCCATAGGCTGTAGGCTTGTTCATTTAGCTGACAAGATATGCTTATAAGTCATGCCATTCTTTTTATTTTATATTATTTTATAGTAAGAACAATATAATTCAACTTAGCTGAAAAAAATGTAAAGGATATTTTTCCCATTCTGGAGCAGGATTTCAGAAAGTTTCAAAAAAAGCTTGCGCTCTGTTCCTTGCCTCATGCTGCACAGCTGTTCTCTCATCAAGTGATCCTATTTTCACCCATCAGACACCCATATGCTATGAAGCCCCTAAATAAGATCTGGTGCAACCAATTACCTTCAGAAGTTACATAACTTGTTAAATAAAGTCCACCTGTGTGCAAGCTAAGTGTCACATGATCTCAGTATATATACACCTGTTCTGAAAGGCCCCAGAGTATGCAACACCACTAAGCAAGGGGCACCACCAAGCAAGCGGCACCATGAAGACCAAGGAGCTCTCCAAACAGGTCAGGAACAAAGTTGTGGAGAAGTACAGATCAGGGTTGGGTTATAAAAAAATATCCGAAACTTTGAACATCCCACGGAGCACCATTAAATCCATTATTAAAACATTGAAAGAATATGGCACCACAATAAACCTGCCAAGAAAGGGCCGCCCACCAAAACTCACAGACTCCCAACACCTCTCATCACCCGAGAACACCATCCCCACAGTGAAGCATGGTGGTGGCAGCATCATGCTGTGGGGATGTTTTTCCATCGGCAGGGACTGGGAAACTGGTCAGAATTGAAGGAATGATGGATGGCGGTAAATACAGGGAAATTCTTGAGGGAAACCTGTTTCATTCTTCCAGAGATTTGAGACTGGGACGGAGGTTCACCTTCCAGCAGGACAATGACCCTAAGCATACTGCTAAAGCAACACTCGAGTGGTTTAAGGGGAAACATTTAAAGCCCAGACCTCAATCCAATTCAGAATATGTGGTATGACTTAAAGATTGCTGTACACCAGCGGAAACCATCCAACTTGAAGGAGCAGTTTTGCCTTGAAGAATGGGCAAAAATCCCAGTGGCTAGATGTGCCAAGCTTATAGAGACATACCTCAAGAGACTTGCAGCTGTAATTGCTGCAAAAGGTGGCTCTACAAAGTATTGGCTTTGGGGGGGTGAATAGTTATGCATGCTCAAGTTCTGTTTTTTTGTCTTATTTCTCGTTTGTTTCACAAGAAAAAATATTTTGCATCTTCAAAATGGTAGGCATGTTGTATAAATCAAATGATACAAACCCCCCAAAAAATCAATTTAATTCCAGGTTGTAAGGCAACAAAATAGGAAAAATGCCAAGGGGGGTGAACACTTTCACTGTAAGCCACTGTATATGCCATGGCCTCTCCAACCCTGTTCATGCAGTTACCCAGTGCTTAATTTTGAGAAACCAAGTTAAATCTGTTTGGGATCGTCGATAGTAACATGTTTTCACAACTACACATATTAAATATTTTCATTAAAACTTTTGACAGCCCCTCTCTCTGCGCGCTGGAGTAAGGAATGAAGGAGAGAGGGGAAGAGATGTAAATGCACAGTGGTGAGATTTATGTAGCTAAAAGGTGATGTGTCAGCCTATTCATTATATAAAAAATAAGAAAACTCTATTATAGGCTATTAAAAATCAAATACAAATTCACTGTAATTGTAGGCTAACTCTGTAAGCCATTCTGCACAATCAATGAACCAACAGTATCGCCTAGGGCTATACGTTTTCTCCCACACTCATGGATAGAAAGGTTGGAGAGTAGCATAAGGTAACCAGTCCATCCAGTATGCATAATAATACAGTCCACACTCAAAGGCCATTACTATTTATTATTATTCTTTTTTTGGGGGGGGGGGGGGGGGGGGGGGGGGTAATATGCAGTAGGCTATGTATGGTATACTGAACAAAAATAAAACGCAACATGCAACAATTTCAACTATTTGACTGAGTTACAGTTCATATTAGGAAGTCAGTCAATTGAAAAAAATTCATTAGGCCCTCATCTATGGATTTCACATGACTGGGCAGGGGCGCAGACATGGGTGGGCCTGGCTCCCCAGGGAGTGGCCTAGCCAATCAGAATTTTTTTACCACAAAAGGGCTTTATTACAGACATAAATACTCCTCAGTTTCATCAGCTGTCCGGGTGGCTGGTCTCAAACGATCCCACAGGTGAAGAAGCCGGTTGTGGAGGTCCTGGGCTGGCGCGGTTAAATGTGGTCTGTGGTTGTGAGGCCGGTTGGACGTACTGCCAAATTCTCTAAAATTACGTTGGAGGCGGCTTATGGTTGAGAAATTAACATTACATTCTCTGGCAACAGCTCTGGTGGACATTCCTGCAGTCAGCATGCCAATTGCACGCTCCCTCAAAACTTGAGACATCTGTGGCATTGTGTTGTGTGACAAAACTGCACATTTTAGAGTGGCCTTTTATTGTCCCCAGCACAAGGTGCACCTGTGTAATGATCATGCTGTTTAATCAGCTTCTTGATATGCCACACCTGTCAGGTGGATGGATTATCTTGGCAAAGGAGAAATGCTCACTAACAGGGATGTAACCACATTTGTGAACAAAATTCTAGAGAAATAAGCTTTTTGTGCGAATGGAATATTTCTGGGATCTTTCATTTCAGCGCATGAAACATGGGACCAACACGTTCCATGTAGTTCAGTATAGATAATTCTAAGAAACAGCAACAGCCTAGTGCGTTTCTGTTGAGAGAGAGGTGGGAAATGCAGTCAGTGTGTTACACTGGACCAAAATAAGATCTGGGCCTGCGTTTCACATTCCACATGTAAACATGGGACCAACACTTTACATGTTGCGTTAATTTTTTTGTTCAGTATATAACGGCACAATAATTTTAATTCTGTTTTATTTTTTGTGGGCTTGGGCTCATATATAGGCCTATGCATAAGCTCTAATATGCATATGGATGTTTTGAATTAATCATCACCTTATAAAGTGCTATCCATTTCGTTGTGTTAGGCTTTGAAACAACATCCACAACAACCATGTTTTCCACTCAGTTTAACCTGTTGTTGAACATCTTTCTTTAAATTGATCAATCACAGCGAGGTGAGTTTTAAAAGCATGAAACTGTTTTGATAAGTGTTTGATGTGATTTTCGATTGTATTTGAATTGATGTGAGAGTGGTTAGAGGGACAATAGAGCCCTGAGTACCAGGCCATTAGCGACCTGACGGTCGTTAGCTAGTTGGGTACTACCAACGCATGTCCAGAGTGCATAAGAGGAGAGGTGACTCAGTCACGTGGAATTTGACTGCGGTCATGACTCATGACTGCCAGTGTGACGGTAATACGGTCACCACAACAGCCTTACTCAAACATGGCCAATGCTTTCAACCACATAGGAGAGAATTAAAGTCATTATAGGTTGTAAAACTATACACCGTGTGGTGTTTCAACTATTCCCCATGACTCCCACAGCCCCAAGCAGGCAGTGGACCACTGGGTTGATCCTGGTGGTTATTGTCAGTCTATTTCTAGCCTACCAGAGTGGCTGGAAGGGTAGTACAGAGGTCGTTATCGCAATCCCCTCATGTGCATTGTTAGAATGCTGCGAGGAAATGGGCACCCAATCAATACTGATTATGACCGACAGCAGCCTAACTTTAACAATGCACTCTTGGGTGGTGTCAAAAATGGCACCCTATTCACTTTATAGTGCACTACTGTTGACCAGAGGCGCTGGTTGGAAGGAGTGCACTCTATAAGAAATAGACAAAAATACAGAAAGAGAAGAAAACACCATTATACACTGGAGGTCCTGTATGCCTCAGTTGGTACAGCATGGCGCTTGCAATGCCAGGATTGTGGGTTCTATTCCTGGGACCACCCATATGTAAAATGTGTGCACGCATGACTATGTTGCTTTGGACAAAAGTGTCTGCTAAATCGCATATATTATTGAGGGAGGGAGATAGGGCAGTGCTGTTGCTTAGCGTCAATGACACTTACCTCTGAACGTTATTGGAGTGGGCTGTAAGATGAGAGTGAATGTGAGGGGTGTTGCGTGTTGGCAGTACCTGATTTCTCTCAGCCAGCTCCCTCCTCTGGTCCTCCTCTGTCTTTATCCTGTGGTTCAGGGTCGTGTTCTCCTCGGTGAGCTCCTGAATCTGGCCCTGAGGAACACCACATCATGAGGACATTATCACCTAACCTCTCCTGAGACTAAATAAATTGGAATATATTTTGATATGTGAAGCTGAAGCTTACAGATAAAGTGACTTCAGCCTCCTTCAGTCTTTTGTCCAATGTCTGCAGCTCCCGCTCATGAGCTTGACGGAGCTCTTGAAGAGAGATCACAGTTTAACAGAATTATAATGCAAGACAGTCAAAATCAGAAATACTTCTGATTCATCAAAGTTAAATGACTTTAACACACGTGCTGTGCTGATTTTTACCTCGCAGTAACTTAAGATTTGGTCTATAAAAAACAACGGTGTACATGACAGGATGAATGTACCTTCTAGAGAGTCCTCACACTGCTGTTTAACTGCCTGGATCTGTTCAGAGTGGCTGGCCTCGTGCTCTAACATCACAGCCTCATGGCTGGCTCTCAACTCCCCCATCTTCAAAAAGAGAAGGAACATGGTTTTAGGAACATTTATGGTCAATAACAAAAGCAACGTACAAAAAGCTTATTACCACTTTATCTATTTCCCCAGAGTCAGATTAATTCGTGGATAACATTTTTATGTCTGCGTGCAGTTTGAAGGAAGTTGCTAACTAGGGTTAATGCAATTGCCAACTAGGGTTAATGCACTTGCCAACTAGGGTTAATGCAATTGCCAACTAGGGTTAGTGCAATGACTGGAAGTCTATGGTAACTGCTAGCATGCTAATAGGTACCATAGACTTACAGTCATTGCGCTAACGCTCGTTAACACTGGCTTGTGAAACGCGCCAACTTCCTTCATACTGGATGCAGAGACCTAAAAATGGTATCCATGAGTTCACCTGACTCTGGGGAAGTAGATAAAGGGCTTCATTGCCAAAATCCCAAAGTATCCCTTTAACAGGTGCATTATGAATCATCACATCACTGATAAAGTAACAAAGCCTACCATCAGTAACACACTACGCCGCCAGGGACTCAAATCCTGCAGTGCCAGACGTGTCCCCCTGCTTAAGCCAGTACATGTCCAGGCCCGTCTGAAGTTTGCTAGAATGCATTTGGATGATCCAGAAGAGGATTGGGAGAATGTCATATGGTCAGATGAAACCAAAATATAACTTTTTGGTAAAAACTCAACTCGTCGTGTTTGGAGGACAAAGAATGCCGAGTTGCATCCAAAGAACACCATACCTACTGTGAAGCATGGGGGTGGAAACATCATGCTTTGGGGCTGTTTTTCTGCAAACGGACCAGGACGACTGATCCGTGTAAAGGAAAGAATGAATGGGGCCATGTATCGTGAGATTTTGAGTGAAAACCTCCTTCCATCAGCAAGGGCATTGAAGATGAAACGTGGCTGGGTCTTTCAGCATGACAATGATCCCAAACACACCGCCCGGGCAACGAAGGAGTGGCTTCGTAAGAAGCATTTCAAGGTCCTGGAGTGGCCTAGCCAGTCTCCAGATCTCAACCCCATAGAAAATCTTTGGAGGGAGTTGAAAGTCCGTGTTGCCCAGCGACAGCCCCAAAACATCACTGCTCTAGAGGAGATCTGCATGGAGGAATGGGCCAAAATACCAGCAACAGTGTGTGAAAACCTTGTGAAGACTTACAGAAAACGTTTGACCTGTGTCATTGCCAACAAAGGGTATATAACAAAGTATTGAGAAACTTTTGTTATTGACCAAATACTTATTTTCCACCATAATTTGCAAATAAATTCATTAAAAATCCTACAATGTGATTTTCTGGATTTTTCTCTCATTTTGTCTGTCATAGTTGACGTGTACCTATGATGAAAATTACAGGCCTCTCTCATCTTTTTAAGTGGGAGAACTTGCACAATTGGTGGCTGACTAAATACTTTTTTCCCCCACTGTACATAGAAGGCCATAGACACCCAGTCCCAGGTTGACTTAAGAATAGAGGAGAAAGAGAATGAGCAGCATGTCTGTCCATGCGGGCTTTCAGATCCTCATTCTCCTGCTGGACCTTTTGGAAGGCATTCGTCCAGCTTTAACACTTTTCTCCATCTACAAAAACATCCAAAACATTCAAGACTAGATAGAAAAATGGTCTTAAAATTGATGCCTGAACTATAGGTGTGTCCATCTGCATCAGTTTGTGGTCCTGTTGGTGCAGCTGTTTGTTCTTGATATCCAGCACCACATTGAGGCTCTCCACCTCCTGCTCCAGATACAGGGAGTCCTTCTGGAACGGCACAACAAGAGGGTGGTCTGAATAAGACTAGTCTGAATGAGTGTGATAATTCCAGATGAGGTTAGCCTCTGCCCATAACAGTTATACAACCCTACATCCATAACCTAATCAACAGAGGGCACCATACCTAGGTGACAAAAACACCCCACTGTGTAAGCCCAATTTAATATACACCATTACAATAAATCCATTATGTATTTTAGGCAGGTCTAAAAGAAACATGATTAAAATTAAGAAAATGCATTTCAGAAGAACAGAACATGAGTAGGCCTACTGTAAGTTATCTGGCTATACACCATGCCATAGGCTGTAGGCTTGTTCATTTAGCTGACAAGATATGCTTATAAGTCATGCCATTATTTTTATTTTATATTATTTTATAGTAAGAACAATATAATTCAACTTAGCTGAAAAAAATGTAAAGGATATTTTTCCCATTCTGGAGCAGGATTTCAGAAAGTTTCAAAAAAAGCTTGCGCTCTGTTCCTTGCCTCATGCTGCACAGCTGTTCTCTCATCAAGTGATCCTATTTTCACCCATCAGACACCCATATGCTATGAAGCCCCTAAATAAGATCTGGTGCAACCAATTACCTTCAGAAGTTACATAACTTGTTAAATAAAGTCCACCTGTGTGCAAGCTAAGTGTCACATGATCTCAGTATATATACACCTGTTCTGAAAGGCCCCAGAGTATGCAACACCACTAAGCAAGGGGCACCACCAAGCAAGCGGCACCATGAAGACCAAGGAGCTCTCCAAACAGGTCAGGAACAAAGTTGTGGAGAAGTACAGATCAGGGTTGGGTTATAAAAAAATATCCGAAACTTTGAACATCCCACGGAGCACCATTAAATCCATTATTAAAACATTGAAAGAATATGGCACCACAATAAACCTGCCAAGAAAGGGCCGCCCACCAAAACTCACAGACCAGGCAATGAGGGCATTAATCAGAGAGAGCAACAAAGAGACCAAAGATAACCCTGAAGGAGCTGCAAAGCTCCACAGCGGAGATTGGAGTATCTGTCCATAGGACCACTTTAAGCCGTACACTCCACAGAGCTGGGCTTTACGGAAGAGTGGCCAAAAAAAGCCATTGCTTAAAGAAATAAATAAGCAAACACGTTTGGTGTTCGCCAAAAGCCATGTGGAAGACTCCCCAAACATATGGAAGAAGGTACTCTGGTCAGATGAGAATAAAATTGAGCTTTTTGGCCATCAAGGAAAACGCTATGTCTGGCGCAAACCCATCACCTCTCATCACCCGAGAACACCATCCCCACAGTGAAGCATGGTGGTGGCAGCATCATGCTGTGGGGATGTTTTTCCATCGGCAGGGACTGGGAAACTGGTCAGATTTGAAGGAATGATGGATGGCGGTAAATACAGGGAAATTCTTGAGGGAAACCTGTTTCATTCTTCCAGAGATTTGAGACTGGGACGGAGGTTCACCTTCCAGCAGGACAATGACCCTAAGCATACTGCTAAAGCAACACTCGAGTGGTTTAAGGGGAAACATTTAAAGGCCAGACCTCAATCCAATTCAGAATCTGTGGTATGACTTAAAGAGTGCTGTACACCAGCGGAAACCATCCAACTTGAAGGAGCAGTTTTGCCTTGAAGAATGGGCAAAAATCCCAGTGGCTAGATGTGCCAAGCTTATAGAGACATACCTCAAGAGACTTGCAGCTGTAATTGCTGCAAAAGGTGGCTCTACAAAGTATTGGCTTTGGGGGGGTGAATAGTTATGCATGCTCAAGTTCTGTTTTTTTGTCTTATTTCTCGTTTGTTTCACAAGAAAAAATATTTTGCATCTTCAAAATGGTAGGCATGTTTTATAAATCAAATGATACAAACCCCCCAAAAAATCAATTTAATTCCAGGTTGTAAGGCAACAAAATAGGAAAAATGCCAAGGGGGGTGAACACTTTCACTGTAAGCCACTGTATATGCCATGGCCTCTCCAACCCTGTTCATGCAGTTACCCAGTGCTTAATTTTGAGAAACCAAGTTAAATCTGTTTGGGATCGTCGATAGTAACATGTTTTCACAACTACACATATTAAATATTTTCATTAAAACTTTTGACAGCCCCTCTCTCTGCGCGCTGGAGTAAGGAATGAAGGAGAGAGGGGAAGAGATGTAAATGCACAGTGGTGAGATTTATGTAGCTAAAAGGTGATGTGTCAGCCTATTCATTATATAAAAAATAAGAAAACTCTATTATAGGCTATTAAAAATCAAATACAAATTCACTGTAATTGTAGGCTAACTCTGTAAGCCATTCTGCACAATCAATGAACCAACAGTATCGCCTAGGGCTATACGTTTTCTCCCACACTCATGGATAGAAAGGTTGGAGAGTAGCATAAGGTAACCAGTCCATCCAGTATGCATAATAATACAGTCCACACTCAAAGGCCATTACTATTTATTATTATTCTTTTTTTTTTTTGTGGGGGGGGGGGGGGGTAATATGCAGTAGGCTATGTATGGTATACTGAACAAAAATAAAACGCAACATGCAACAATTTCAACTATTTGACTGAGTTACAGTTCATATTAGGAAGTCAGTCAATTGAAAAAAATTCATTAGGCCCTCATCTATGGATTTCACATGACTGGGCAGGGGCGCAGACATGGGTGGGCCTGGCTCCCCAGGGAGTGGCCTAGCCAATCAGAATTTTTTTACCACAAAAGGGCTTTATTACAGACAGAAATACTCCTCAGTTTCATCAGCTGTCCGGGTGGCTGGTCTCAAACGATCCCACAGGTGAAGAAGCCGGTTGTGGAGGTCCTGGGCTGGCGCGGTTAAATGTGGTCTGCGGTTGTGAGGCCGGTTGGACGTACTGCCAAATTCTCTAAAATTACGTTGGAGGCGGCTTATGGTAGAGAAATTAACATTACATTCTCTGGCAACAGCTCTGGTGGACATTCCTGCAGTCAGCATGCCAATTGCACGCTCCCTCAAAACTTGAGACATCTGTGGCATTGTGTTGTGTGACAAAACTGCACATTTTAGAGTGGCCTTTTATTGTCCCCAGCACAAGGTGCACCTGTGTAATGATCATGCTGTTTAATCAGCTTCTTGATATGCCACACCTGTCAGGTGGATGGATTATCTTGGCAAAGGAGAAATGCTCACTAACAGGGATGTAACCACATTTGTGAACAAAATTCTAGAGAAATAAGCTTTTTGTGCGAATGGAACATTTCTGGGATCTTTCATTTCAACCAACACGTTCCATGTAGTTCAGTATAGATAATTCTAAGAAACAGCAACAGCCTAGTGCGTTTCTGTTGAGAGAGAGGTGGGAAATGCAGTCAGTGTGTTACACTGGACCAAAATAAGATCTGGGCCTGCGTTTCACATTCCACATGTAAACATGGGACCAACACTTTACATGTTGCGTTAATTTTTTTGTTCAGTATATAACGGCACAATAATTTTAATTCTGTTTTATTTTTTGTGGGCTTGGGCTCATATATAGGCCTATGCATAAGCTCTAATATGCATATGGATGTTTTGAATTAATCATCACCTTATAAAGTGCTATCCATTTCGTTGTGTTAGGCTTTGAAACAACATCCACAACAACCATGTTTTCCACTCAGTTTAACCTGTTGTTGAACATCTTTCTTTAAATTGATCAATCACAGCGAGGTGAGTTTTAAAAGCATGAAACTGTTTTGATAAGTGTTTGATGTGATTTTTGATTGTATTTGAATTGATGTGAGAGTGGTTAGAGGGACAATAGAGCCCTGAGTACCAGGCCATTAGCGACCTGACGGTCGTTAGCTAGTTGGGTACTACCAACGCATGTCCAGAGTGCATAAGAGGAGAGGTGACTCAGTCACGTGGAATTTGACTGCGGTCATGACTCATGACTGCCAGTGTGACGGTAATACGGTCACCACAACAGCCTTACTCAAACATGGCCAATGCTTTCAACCACATAGGAGAGAATTAAAGTCATTATAGGTTGTAAAACTATACACCGTGTGGTGTTTCAACTATTCCCCATGACTCCCACAGCCCCAAGCAGGCAGTGGACCACTGGGCTGATCCTGGTGGTTATTGTCAGTCTATTTCTAGCCTACCAGAGTGGCTGGAAGGGTAGTACAGAGGTCGTTATCGCAATCCCCTCATGTGCATTGTTAGAATGCTGCGAGGAAATGGGCACCCAATCAATACTGATTATGACCGACAGCAGCCTAACTTTAACAATGCACTCTTGGGTGGTGTCAAAAATGGCACCCTATTCACTTTATAGTGCACTACTGTTGACCAGAGGCGCTGGTTGGAAGGAGTGCACTCTATAAGAAATAGACAAAAATACAGAAAGAGAAGAAAACACCATTATACACTGGAGGTCCTGTATGCCTCAGTTGGTACAGCATGGCGCTTGCAATGCCAGGATTGTGGGTTCTATTCCTGGGACCACCCATATGTAAAATGTGTGCACGCATGACTATGTTGCTTTGGACAAAAGTGTCTGCTAAATCGCATATATTATTGAGGGAGGGAGATAGGGCAGTGCTGTTGCTTAGCGTCAATGACACTTACCTCTGAACGTTATTGGAGTGGGCTGTAAGATGAGAGTGAATGTGAGGGGTGTTGCGTGTTGGCAGTACCTGATTTCTCTCAGCCAGCTCCCTCCTCTGGTCCTCCTCTGTCTTTATCCTGTGGTTCAGGGTCGTGTTCTCCTCGGTGAGCTCCTGAATCTGGCCCTGAGGAACACCACATCATGAGGACATTATCACCTAACCTCTCCTGAGACTAAATAAATTGGAATATATTTTGATATGTGAAGCTGAAGCTTACAGATAAAGTGACTTCAGCCTCCTTCAGTCTTTTGTCCAATGTCTGCAGCTCCCGCTCATGAGCTTGACGGAGCTCTTGAAGAGAGATCACAGTTTAACAGAATTATAATGCAAGACAGTCAAAATCAGAAATACTTCTGATTCATCAAAGTTAAATGACTTTAACACACGTGCTGTGCTGATTTTTACCTCGCAGTAACTTAAGATTTGGTCTATAAAAAACAACGGTGTACATGACAGGATGAATGTACCTTCTAGAGAGTCCTCACACTGCTGTTTAACTGCCTGGATCTGTTCAGAGTGGCTGGCCTCGTGCTCTAACATCACAGCCTCATGGCTGGCTCTCAACTCCCCCATCTTCAAAAAGAGAAGGAACATGGTTTTAGGAACATTTATGGTCAATAACAAAAGCAACGTACAAAAAGCTTATTACCACTTTATCTATTTCCCCAGAGTCAGATTAATTCGTGGGTAACATTTTTATGTCTGCGTGCAGTTTGAAGGAAGTTGCTAACAAGCATTAATGCAATTGCCAACTAGGGTTAATGCACTTGCCAACTAGGGTTAATGCAATTGCCAACTAGGGTTAGTGCAATGACTGGAAGTCTATGGTAACTGCTAGCATGCTAGTAGGTACCATAGACTTACAGTCATTGCGCTAACGCTCGTTAACACTGGCTTGTGAAACGCGCCAACTTCCTTCATACTGGATGCAGAGACCTAAAAATGGTATCCATGAGTTCACCTGACTCTGGGGAAGTAGATAAAGGGCTTCATTGCCATAATCCTGAAGTATCCCTTTAACAGGTGCATTATGAATCATCACATCACTGATAACGGATGGATCATGAAAAGCCTTTAGGCCTACAACTAATTAAGATCAAATAAACCAACACGGTGCAGACAGCCAAAAACACTTATTCCAAGCGAATAGAATTTCAATTCTATTCAGTAAGTCAGTTTGGGCTCTGGTCAAAAGTAGTGCACTACAAAGGGAATAGTGTGTAATTTGGGACGCACCCCGTTTCAGTAGAGCAACCTTCAGGACGAAACCAGCTTCACGCTGACAGTATACTGAAAAGCAATGTCCTCAGGTCTGATTTGTGGACTACTTTCAGCAGTGACCAATTTTCCTTGAAATGAATCTAGCTGAGTAGTATGCTCTGTGAATGACTCAACAGAATGACTGCAGAGGACCCTGACGGACTTTGTGTATGTCAGGAATGAAAGAATCTCTAAACAATCATCTCACTGTCACATAGACAGACACAGGACTGAGCCCTGAGAGACCGGGGGCTACACACAGTCATGTAATGTGTAGTTGGAACATGACTTGACACTGTGGGTGCATTTCAATCCTCTCAAGCCCTTCTCTACATTTTTACTGATCTGAAATAAACAGACTGGGTGAAAGCAATACTGCTTTCACTTCTCCAGTAGAAAGGAGGAACTGAGCCACTTTTAGCCTATTGGCATGCACTCAGTCTCTGTGTGTCCCAAATGGCACCCTATTCCCTTTATAGTGCACTACTTTTGACCAAGGCCCATATGGATCTGGTCAAAAGTAGTGCACTATATATGGAATAGGGTGCCATTAGGGATGCATCCAGTAGCTTTATTGTACCTGCTGCTCCATTAAGGCCTTGCACCGGTCTGCCTCCTCCTGGTAGGTCAGATGGATCTTGTCCCCCTCGGCCTGGTAGAACACCCTGAGCCTCTCCTCCAGCTGGGCCAGCTCCGTGTGGTGCTGCTCCTGCATCGTCTGAAGCTCGCCCTCCAATACCCCACGCACCTCATCCTTCTCCCGCTCCAACAACTCACACGAGTGGGCCGAGTTTACTGCAGGGTGCCAGTAGGATCCACAGCAGACAGGAAATCAGTTAGTTTTGTGGAACTTTATTTTCTAATGGGAAATGTGTTTGTCTCATCTCTTATCAAAGAAGAACAGCATTAGATAAACTATGGCAATCCAACAGTCTAACAAAGGGGCTGAGAGGGCTAGTGGGTTCAGCACAGACTCCCAAAGTCATGTGTGCCTGCAATCTCTTAGTTGTGCTTATTGGATTTGTTTATTGACTTTCAATGTGACTTTTCATGGTGGCTTATAGAAAGATGTAATATATCAAAATGTCAATGACGGTAAGTCTCTGGCAGACTACAGAGCACATTGCCTTACTGGCAGGAAAAAGACATACCCGCGAGTTATCAAAAACACACTTTCACAATTGTCTGAAATCAGTGTGATGTCCTAGGATTTTTTTATATTGACTCACTTCTGTCCTACTTGCATCATATGTCTGCTACAGTAGAACATTACAGTTTGAACATGGACATGCTGCTGTTACTACGGTCTCTCTAACACAATGGACATGCTGCTGTTACTACTGTCTCTCTAACACAATGGACATGCTGCTGTTACTACGGTCTCTCTAACACAATGGACATGCTGCTGTTACTACTGTCTCTCTAACACAATGGACATGCTGCTGTTACTACTGTCTCTCTAACACAATGGACATGCTGCTGTTACTACGGTCTCTCTAACACAATGGACATGCTGCTGTTACTACGGTCTCTCTAACACAATGGACATGCTGCCGTTACTACTGTCTCTCTAACACAATGGACATGCTGCCGTTACTACTGTCTCTCTAACACAATGGACATGCTGCCGTTACTACTGTCTCTCTAACACAATGGACATGCTGCCGTTACTACTGTCTCTCTAACACAATGGACATGCTGCCGTTACTACTGTCTCTCTAACACAATGGACATGCTGCCGTTACTACTGTCTCTCTAACACAATGGACATGCTGCTGTTACTACGGTCTCTCTAACACAATGGACATGCTGCTGTTACTACGGTCTCTCTAACACAATGGACATGCTGCTGTTACTACGGTCTCTCTAACACAATGGACATGCTGCTGTTACTACTGTCTCTCTAACACAATGGACATGCTGCTGTTACTACTGTCTCTCTAACACAATGGACATGCTGCTGTTACTACGGTCTCTCTAACACAATGGACATGCTGCTGTTACTACTGTCTCTAACACAATGGACATGCTGCTGTTACTACTGTCTCTAACACAATGGACATGCTGCTGTTACTACTGTCTCTCTAACACAATGGACATGCTGCTGTTACTACGGTCTCTCTAACACAATGGACATGCTGCTGTTACTACGGTCTCTCTAACACAATGGACATGCTGCTGTTACTACTGTCTCTCTAACACAATGGACATGCTGCTGTTACTACTGTCTCTCTAACACAATGGACATGCTGCTGTTACTACTGTCTCTCTAACACAATGGACATGCTGCTGTTACTACGGTCTCTCTAACACAATGGACATGCTGCCGTTACTGATGAGGCTTTTCTGCTTGATGTATACTTTGGTGTGTTTTTTAAGTTGCTCTTTTGAGAGAAACTCAGAGCAGCAGTAAGGCTTCTCTCCTGTGTGTCCTTCCATTCATACTGTCAGATCTAATATGGAAAAACTGAATATTACCATAAGAACCATTCCTACTGTCAGATCTAATACGGAAGAACTGCTGTTCAACCTTCCCAAGTTCTCTCACGTCACCCCCCTCCTCCGCACACTCCACTGGCTTCCAATTGAAGCTCGCATCCGCTACAAGACCATGGTGCTTGCCTTTGGAGCAGTGAGGGGAACGGCACCCCTGTACCTTCAGGCTCTGATCAGTCCCTACACCCAAACGAGGACATTGCGTTCATCCACCTCTGGCCTGCTGGCTCCCCTTCCTCTGCGGAAGCACAGCTCCCCCTCAGCCCAGTCAAAACTGTTCGCTGCTCTGGCACCCCAATGGTGGAACAAGCTCCCTCACGACGCCAGGACAGCGGAGTCACTCACCACCTTCCGGAGACATTTGAAACCCCACCTCTTTAAGGAATACCTGGGATAGGCTAAAGTATTCCTTCTAACCCCCCCCCCCCCCCCCCCCCCCCCCCCCAAATTGTAAAGTGGTTATCCCACTGGCTATAGGGTGAACGCACCAATTTGTGAGTCGCTCTGGCTAAGAGCGTCTGCTAAATGACGTTAATATGCCCTTGAGCAAGGCACTTAACCCTAATTGCTCCTGTAAGTCGCTCTGGTTAAGAGACTGAATACAAAAGAGAAGGTTGACCAGTACAAATTCATGTAACTTTATTTTTCATTGGCAGATCAATTAAGTTGGCTTGAATGCAGTTATCCAAACAAATTCATCATCAATTACTAAAATAAGTAGAAACAAACAAAACACACCAAAACTGACCAGGTGAACACTGATCAGTAAAGTAAAGAGAGGCTAACATTCTATAACGCTCCCTTTCCTCTGCACAGTTCTCTCACAGTGAGAAACAATAGGATTACAAGAGTTCTATGCTTTCTTCATTTGATCCAATCCACTACCACTTAATATAATAATAATAATATGCCATTTAGCAGACGCTTTTATCCAAAGCGATTTAGTCATGCGTGCATATATATATATATATATATTTTTTTGTGTATGGGTGGTCCTGGGGATTGAACCCACTACCTTGGCGTTACAAGCACCGTGCTCTACCAGCAGAGCTACAGAGGACCACACTTCTTATGTATACGTTGGTGTCTTTTTAAATTGCCCAATCTGTAGAATCTTGTCCCACAGTCAGAGCAGGAGTAAGGCTTCTCTCCAGTGTGTACACGCTGATGAATTGTCAGAGCCGCTGATGTTCTGAAGCTCTTCCCACAGTCAGAGCATAAGTAAGGCTTCTCTCCTGTGTGTGTTCTCTGATGAACTTTTAGCTCAGTTGATGTTGTGAAGCATTTGAAACAGTCAGAGCAGAAGTAAGGCTTCTCTCCTGTGTGTATCCGTTCATGTTGTTTTAAGACGCCCAGTCGAGAGAAACTCGTTGTGTATCTCTGGCTTGCTGAAGTGTGATAATAAGTTGCTATGGAAACAGAAGGTGAAGTATCTTCCATTCTATTTCTTTCAGAGGGTTAACCTTGTGAAAAGAGCTATATTTTCCTTGAGAAACATATATTTTCCAAAAGACAAACAGCTTCTAAAGTGATATTCCTCCAATGGAAACAGCTTTAGAAGTAGAGGTGACCGTATTATCGACATGCTAGATGACCTCCATCAAGTCAAGTGCATCTGGTGAGGGGAAGAGCAGCAGTCTTCCTTTGAAGCCCATGGATCATTCCCAAATGGCACCCTATTCCCTACATAGTGCATTGCACCCCTATGGGACCTGGTCAAAAGTAGTGCACTACATAGGGAATAGGGTGCCATTTGGGATGCATCCTGCTCTTTTAAATCGCAAGTTAAACTGGAGTAAATGAAATGTTTAAAGTGTACCAAAGTAAAAAGCTTTAGTCTTTGGTGAAAGTCCTATTCAGTCCAACTTTGAACAGCTCAGTCTGAAGTAGGAGTTAGAAACTGTTAACCCCTTTTTAAAAGAATGAGCTTGAGTTCGAAGAGAGAACATTCCTCTCATCCTCTTCCCCTTTCCTTACTGATGACAGCAGGGTATGGCAGGACAACAGGATAGCTAATACTAAAACTGTTTTGCTGTCCCATCTGCTGACTGCTGGAGATCTGTATTCATTTACTAAAACAAACATAACAGCAATGTTTCAATGGCATAATCATTCATGGAAATGTTTATTGTACAATCAAATAGCTAATTAATATATAATCAGTATAAACCTAACATAAGCTTCATGCAATACAATGTTACTGATATGAATATGCAGACATGCATGGTATTTACAGTATTAGCCATTACAGATGGACATAAGGTGTGAGCATTTTCTTCTGAAATTACATAACATTCACTACACCTTTCCTGCATTCAACTGACCAAATCACCCTCTAGTGGCCTCATGGGTGGAATGTTATTAATATATTTTATATTTTCATAATTAATCAACATTATTTTACAAAACCTGCCAAAAATCACAAGGTTTTGTTATATTTCAGTCTTCTGTGATATATAAAGTATATAAAGTGTAATATTGGGATGCAAACTCAAAATGTAATACATTTTAACTCTATCTGACATTGTACAGGTGTCTTCATTTTTTTAAGCCCATAACCATGTGTGTGAGGTGTATACTTTTGTTTCAAAGTAGATTTTATTAAGACTACCAATAAATTTTTCCAAAAGAGAGCCAAAGCTCTGAACATCAGGGTCTATCTATGAATTCTCTAAGTTCAGTTTATATGTTTCAGTCGCCTGTCAGAGGCCTTGTGTCCAGAGGTTAGGGTGTGAGATAACCAAACAAGCCTGCTGGTCACTCTGACCCTTGACCTCTGACCCCTTACCCAAGCCTGACAGATCAGAGCTGGAGGCAGGGGAGACGGGCACACTGCCGCTGAGCTCCTGTCCACGGCTCATGTCCAAGGGGTCACGTTGTGTCCCTATATGCGCCCTGCTGACCCCTGTGTTACTGCCTTGGAGCTTAGTGGGATCTGTGGGGTAGAGGTGGTGCTGCTGGTGCTGGTCAATGCTTTCATCCTGCTGGCTACAGGTGAAGTATATGTCTGGATGGAGTCATCATAACTGCCCCTGATGCCTAACAGGTAGGTGGACGTCATCAAGATCCAGAGAAAGGAAATCAGTTGGTGGAGTCACTCTCAATGTCTATACCTTCTACATAGCAGTCCAGGTTGAGGAGCTCAGGGTCAGAGTCAGTGCAGGAAAGGGCGGGCTTTTCTATATGTATACACTGCAACAGTTCCTGGTCTATGGGACACTGAGCACTCGGCATCCAATCAGATGTGTCCCAGTGATAGCCTGCTCAGGGCAAAAATGTCATCAGTGAAAAACAAGCATCACAAGTATGTACCAATGATTCATATTTTGGCACAAATAAGCTGTGCACCGCTGTTCATTGAGATGTGATTTAGTGCTACAGTGCATTCAGAAAGTATTCAGACCCCTTGACTTTTTCCACATTTTGTCACGTTACAGCCTTATTCTGAAATGGATAAGCAATCTACACACAATACCCCATAATGACAAAGTGAAAACAGGTTGTTAGTTCTAGTTATGAGTCTGTCTGGTGCTTCCTGAGGGGGAAGAGGCGTTGT